TGGCTGCAGAGGGACCCCAGGTCCCCCTCCCCCGACCCAGGAGACACCAGTCACGAAGCCAGGTGGGTGCAGGGGGGCCCCCCAGTGGACCCGGAAGTGGACCAGAAGTGCAGTCTTGCCCAGTTCTGGATCTGCTGCTGAGCATGGTGGGGACCCCCTCATGCTTCCGTGCGATGCTCCATGTGCTCCAGCATTGCAGCACTTACAAGCCCCTGCTACCTAGAGGTATGTAGAAAAAACATTTAAAGCCCTCTCCATGTCCAAATTGATTTGGAGGGTTCCAATTCAATTCGGACAGATTAAAGGGTCCTCTGATTCGATTCAGATTCAGAGATTTGGCCACCAAATCGGGCTGAATCTCCGCCAAATCAAAATCAGGGACCGAAGCTTCATACAGCCCTACTATACAGTTGCAGTGAAAAGTCACAAGACAAATTGCAGAAGGGAGTGAGGGGCAGAAGAAATGAGGGGGGAAAGAAATCACATACCCAGTAAGGGTGCAAACCAACATCACCCATGTGCCACCATAATTTTTTTATGGCAACACAAGTTGTGAGTGAACAGACATCCTTGTCCCATGTTTGCTACAGTCTTGGTTGTGTTAAGGTAATGTTCTTGCCTAGTAACAATTCACTGCACCTTATCTCGGAGGACATCTGTTCTCTTACAGAGTGATCTCCACAGCTAAGGGCTGCCTGCACTGCCCAGATACCCTGGACAGGCAATTCTGGGGTGCACATTTTATATTGGGGTGTCATACTCCATTTTGCTGACACATATCCCAGGGGGTGGTTGAAGAGCACATCTGCAAGCACAGAGCAGGGAACTCCATGGGTTCCCTTGCTCTGCAACATGAAATGCACACCTTGAAATCCCCTGCATGGGAATTCTCAGAGCCTGTGTCTGCAAGTTAGTTAGTTTTTAGTGACCGTTGACCCTTCCAGATCATGGTGTATGCACGAGAGGTCGCCCAGACCTTCAATACATATAGCTAGGCAGGAGTTTTGGAGGCTGCCCAGACCTTCCACACACACACACCTTTTAGGCCACTGAGACAGAATGCAAAGGCCAGACTGCGTCCAGACATTTGGTGCCTCCATGGCTGTATTCATATAAGCATCCAAACATTGAACCTGGGTCTCCTGTGTGGTAGACAAGGATTCAACCACTGAGCCACAGGGGACTATATATCTGCAAGTACAAATCATGGAACCCCCTTGGGTTCTGGCCAGGCACCTGAGGCTGTCCTGCAGGATCTGGCCCCTGAAGCCCTGGGAGCAACAGGGACCTGATCCTGTGGGACAATAGCTCTGGGCAATGCCTGTGCCTGACATCTCAGCACAGTGGATCCTGCCACAAAAACAATGCCTGTTTGTACTCTAAGTGGGAGACTCAGGGAAAGATTGAGGAGAGTGATAAGAAAAAAAATCCTATAACAACAAGTGCACATCTAACTCTGTGTTTAGAGAGTTGAAAGTACAGTTTTTCAGATGCCTGGATGCAAAGAATGTGGTTTAGTTTTTGGCATTGCTAGAACCAGTTGTAAAACAGGTCAAAGACCTGTTTTCTAAATCTTCTGGAATGTCAAAGCAAATTTACACCAAAATTTTGAAATGTATAAAATTTCAACCAACTTGCAGATAAAAATAATAAAAGTCTACTTCAACTTACACATTGCAGCAGGTCATCACTCTCCGCTTACATTTACATTTGAAACAATCATCAGTGTTCCATACTACACCAAACTTATACCGCTTTCTGTTTTCAATACAACCTAGATAACACAAAAAACCAACAAACAAGGTGCAATAGATCTGTCTAATCTTTATTATTATAGGTAAAAAACAGGCTTATAGTTTCATGCTAGCAGTTAAAGTGCTGACTTCTGTGGAGGTACACCAGGTCTGAATTTGGCCTGGTGCTCTGCAACTGATTGTCGCACTATTGCTCCTATAGCCTACAATAATGCATGGAATGATAAAGTAAAATATCATCTGCCACACATCTTTCTTTTTCAGAGATGTACTTCAAGTATTATACTGAGTCTGAGAAATGCCTTAGGCTGAAAACCTCACCAAGTTAAAATCAGGGGGAGTTTTGCTATCAGTTTCAATGGGGAGAGCATTTCACCCAATGGATAGCATTCTCAAAAACATCTCAGTAACTTAGGCACTGAAGCCCAGTAGGAGCTGGGCATCTAAAATAATTAGGCACTTTTGCAAATAGTACTTATTTTCTGAAAAATCCTTATCGCAATTCTTGGAAGTAGGTATTTGACACCTATTTTATACACAGTATAACTGAGGCTGCCTGCAGATGTTAAAAAAACAAACCAAAAAATCCACACTTTACCAGAAGCAGTAACATGTTACTTCAACCCAGCTTTTCAGCAACTGTATTAGATCAGGTGCTTCGGTGGGGCTTTTTGGCACTTTATCAAGTCAATCAGCTATTAGATAAAAGTGCCAATAAATCTCCACTGAAGCACCTGATCTATACAGATGTTGGGTGAGCTGGGTCCAACTAAGGCACTGCCTCTTCTGGGTATGTGCTGGGCTGGGTGTGGGAGCATGCTAAGTTTAAAATAAAGCACCATTTGTGGGGGGAGGGTTAACATCTGCAAACAGCCTGAGTGACTAAGGGATTTAAAGGCTAACCCAAGATTCTACAGAAAAATTGTAGCGGGGCTATTACTAGCACCTTGTTCTCTTCTAATGCCAATCCCAATTCTAACCATTAAATATCTCCCCTTGCACAATCAAGCAGGCAAGTGGTGTAACCTGAAATAGTCCTCTCATGCCTTTTTCCATATCCAACAACAAGCAGCACAAAACAGTGGTGCTGGAATGGAGAAGCTTCAGGATTGGCATCTTTTACCCCCCCGGTAATACACTGTTTTTTAAAAAGGAACTCTGCCCTGCTATTGTTTGGAAACTACTGTATCTGTCTGTCTGTCTATGTGTGTGTGTCTGTCTAAAGATGGTCTCAGCTGGTATGAAATCTGAATACTTCAGTGAATTGTACTCCACAAATGAGGCTTTGAATCAATTAATTGAATGTCCTAAGCATGCTTGGAAGATATGCTGTTCTTACCATGTTTATTGGGAGGTCTCATATAACACTCGGCATCACACAGGGTCCCTAAGATGATAAGGACCAGGAAGAGGACCAGCAAGAACTTCTGGAAAAGAAGAGGAAGCTTGTAATGAAACGTTCAGCGGTCTTATAAAATAATTTGTTCATGCAGAATTAATAAAGAATTAATAAATAATTTGTTCACACAGAATTAATAAATCCAGCTCTCAGATAAACTCAAACCAAAAACCAATCTTACAGCTACACAGACACTGACTTACCATTATGAAGGAAACTTGCACAGACTTCTGGCATTTTCCAGTGCGGAACAGCTTTTATTGTGTATGCAATGAAGAAACAATAGTTGTGGATTGAAAATGTGAGCCAATAGCTGAGCTCACATTGTGCCAATGGACACTCTAACCTGTTTCAATCATCAATCAGACGGCATTGCCTCAGAAGGTATCTTTGGATATGAACTTAAAGGCAAGTTTTGCATTTCACAAGCATATGAAGGAAAAGATTTACACTGATGTAATTTTGGAGTAACTCCAGTGGCTATAACAGAATTACTCCACATTGGCCTTCCATATTGCCAGCAGAATCTGGTGCCAGATAGCTATGCTTTTGCACTGGCAGACCATCAACAAAACAGTGGGAAAAGGTACATATTAAGCAAGGTGGCACTGTACTATTGTTCCACTGACCTATTACAATGAGATCTCCCCCACCCAGATTTGGAACAGGTCATTCATACAGTGCAGTGGTGTGAAGAGACCCCTGTTCTAAGAGTGATTTATGATCTTCTGTTGTTTTATATATGGGCATTACTGTGTTGCTTTAGAGATGCTAAAGACCACCAGGACCTGGCAATGTGGAGCCCTGCGCCTCCAGATCATGGATTCAGCACCAGGCCTGGTTGATATGATCCACAGTTGTGGACAGTAGATAGCTGTTTGGTTGCCTAAGTGCAATGAATTGTGTTGGTTCTCAGCCCAGCTCCTCATTCACAGGAGTCCCTGTGAGAAATAGTGACTGCCACAACTGGCTCTCTTCCTGGCTACTGCAGCAGGGAGGCCAGGGCCTGGATGGGGTGGCTCAGGATGCCAGCCCACTGGCAGGACAGCTGTCACACAGGGCCTCACTGAGGGTGGGGGGTCTCCTGCTGATACTCTATTATTGAACATTTACCCCATCATTTTTTGTTTTCTCTCCTGCACTTAGATGACCCCAGTTCTTGTTTAGCCTTTTTCTTCACTGTGTACCAGGGCCACTTCTTCAGGCCATGTCTGTTAGATAAACTGGTGCTGTTCACCACCACTAAATTCACTCCACAACAGAACTAGAAGAGACTTCCTGAGTCCTCATGCCCAGTCCCTTATTCTTTATTCTTATGGTGGCCATACTTGTTTAGAAGAGCTAGACTAGATGACCTTGTAAGGTACTTCCCAGCACTGTTTTCCTACGATACTATGGACTCTTCTGCCCTGGTAGAAGTCTGGGATCATCAAACACCACACAGCTCAAACTGGGCACCTTGAGGTAAAAAGGCAACTCCAGCAGAGTAGCTGAAAGACACCTCAGGCACAAGGCTTTTGTGTGTCAGAAAGTTTTTGTGCCACTGAAAAAGTAAAGGTGTACTAACAGCAGCCTCCATTCCCCCCAAAGCTGCCCCTTCAATGCCACACAACTGGAATATTTAAAAGTACTATTCATAATTTACAAAGATTTATTTCTGTGTTATAAAGTTTGCAATAGGAGCGGTTGGTTTGGGGTGTATATCTTGAGCCTGTTACCCTGATCTTTATTGCCTCAGCATGAAATTCTTGCAATGTGCTCTGCCCAGAACTGCGCCTTAAAATCATCCAGAGACTGGAGCTGGTATAAAATGCAATAGCTTGCTTGTTGAACACGGAGAATGTAATACCGGTGAGTGTCCCAGGACCTATGCTGGCTGCCTATCAGTCTCCAGGTGAAGTTTAAGGTGTTGACCATGACCTATAAGCCTGCTGGGTTGGAGCATTGATGTGATATGTTATTCAAGGTGTTAAGAGGCTCCCTGTCTTGGGGCACAATTATTCCTATCAGCATGGTTTCCCAACCAGAATGGCCTTAACTGAGGACCTTGATTGATACACCTAAATTCATTAAAGCCCATGTGATTGACAAGAGCTAAGTATCAGGTGACTGAGTTGGTCTGGAAATAGGGTGTTTGATAAAAATGGTGATGGGGGAAGGGAGATTTGTTCTCTTTTGGTGGGTTGAAAGAGAAGGGGTAGAGAGGAAACAAGAGGATTGTGGTGGGTAGGATTCCTATCTGTTGTTGGTAAGGGATTCAGTTTTTGTAAGGCTTTGCTGTTGGTTTTTCCTTTTTTGACAGGTAGTTCCTCTACCTTTGTGGTGTTTAGCTTAGAGTCTTGATGGTTGCAGTCAGAATATTAGCTTTGCACTATGCTTGGCTTTTTTAAAATGATTTATTCTCATGGGGGAGGCTTTGTTTTAGTAATATCTCTCTTGCTGTGAACACTTAACTCTTTCCCCTCCCAGGAAGCTTGAAAGGATAATGTCAGTGGATTCTTATGGGCTCCTCTTTGCAACAAAATCAAGCTCTCTCTAAATCTAACACTAGCTGAAATATCTCTGATCTTGTCAAAAGTCATGTTTAACATGTCCTCTTCTTTGTGGGGTGTATCATAGTGGCTTCAGCATTTAAGTGACTGAATGACTTGGTTTATAAATATAAGTAAACAGAGATGTACCAAGTGACCAAGTATTCTTGTAAAAGGGCCAGGTACTAAATCCCATTGCTGTCAGTAATCTCAAGTAGTCATCATAACATACATGTCTTTCAAGTATTTGTTTTGCTACTACTCTGCTTTTAAAACTTGAAAGCCTTAAATATCTCTTGAGGGGTTTTTTTACTTGAAATACGACTTTCTCTTTAGGGTCTGGTGTAATTAGAGGTTACTCTGACTACTTGTCTGTACCTTTCCGCCTGTTTTACAGCTCGTGCAAAACCTTGTGCATTGCTGTGTGTTACCACAGCAGGTGAGTGTTGTGCTAGGTAACATCTGTAATTAAGATTGCCTTTCTTTTGTGAATATAAAATTAGCTTTTGATGCAGAAGTCTTAAGCACGGGGTTTTTAAATAGCTACCTGGGTGGCTCTTCACTGCCCCAGTATATTGGCCCCTCACCATCTCTTGAAGGAGCCTGGCTTCCAGGTCACATGATACTCTGCACTTCTAATGATCAGGCCTCCAGGAATATTAAGCGACCTGTTCAAAGAAACACAGGGTGTCTTGTGGTGGCAGAGTGAGAATTAAACGTCAGAGTGTGGACAGACAATGCTTGAGCTATTCCAAGAATGTCACTGATTGGGAACCAGGTCACAAATAGCCCTGGACAGAAGTGTATGTGTACTGCTAAGGCTTTCAAGCAGATCCTTCACCTTGTAGGGATTGCACTGCTACCAAAATGCCTCCAGACATGACTTTCCAGGGGTCAGTCATGTCTGGAGTTTCCCAGGATTTTCCTAGAGGAAGAGGCAGAAGACCTGGATTGGGGCAAGAGGTTGGAGTGGAAGGGTTTGCCAGGTATTAGGGGGTGGGGAACTCTGCAGCTCCCTGCTCATGGTTCCTGGGGGGGGTGGGGCTGGGGGCTC